TGCTACTTCTACTGTTCTTGATTTATATTCGGTTATATTTTCGACTTCTACTGGTTATGGGGATTCTGGTTCTAATAGATCTTCTAGTCTCCAGCTAAGACCACTAGATATTTTAGTGTGTTTTAAAGTTTTTGGTATTACTGCATTAACCTTTTCCGGATTTACTAATAACATGGTTGTTTCATCTTTTGGGGACATTAATAAGGCTCCAGGTGCCAATTGGGTTTTCATTATTTTATAATAAATTCTATATATTTTGGTTATAGATATTGATTTTGGATTCCATACATTTTTTGGGATTTTGATATATAGTAGTATATTATTTTTCGTATTATGAAGACTTTTAAGGGCTATTGAATAATTTGGGTAATTATTTAAATATACTAGTCCGTTATGAAGATTTGTTTCAAACATTGCTAATATTTGATTTTCAAGCTTTACTAATCTATTATCTCTTAAGGCCACGAACATGGGTGTATCTATTCCCTTTCTAAATAGAGGTTTTATCGTTATTTGTATAGATTCTATATGAAGATATCTATATTCTTTTTTATGTTCGGCTATTAGAGTTTTTGTTATTAATGGTATTTTTTCATGACTTGATTGTAGTTCTATTTCTTTGTCTACTATTTTTACTATATATTCAGATTTAAACATGTCTTTTTAATTTATTTTATAAATAGTTGATATTTCGAGTTTTAGAATGGTCGATTTATTAAGTTGATTTTCTATTTCGGGAATAATTAATTCATGGTGTACTATGTTCATATTACTGGTTTCTTCTTCTGTATTCTTATTTTCTTCAAATTTTTCTTTTCCTTTAGATAAAAGTTTTATTAATTTCCCAATCCTAATACCAATGTCTAAGATGCTCTGGAACACCACATATTTTATTGCCACTTACTCGGTCTTACCACCTAAACCAGCTTACCAATGCTCATCTACCCTCAATGACTCTTATGCAAGGTTTAATTAATAAAAAAAATTTCTATTGGAAAATTTCAATTTTTAGAAAATATGAATTCAGAGAGAATAAACAATTATATAAACAAAGTATGCGACTTTGTTATTTCACACTAAATTATCGAGAATCGAACCCGATTACTATGATCTAGACTTGCCTATTATTTTTCAAGTAACCCAATGGGGAGACTTAACTATTTAGTTTTCCAGTCAATATACTTTTAATATTTAAACAATTTTTTTGATGCGGAGGATTGACCTAGACCGCAACCACAATACATACTTATTCAAACAAACAAATATATTATCAGCGCAAAATTTTTTATCTTTGGCTCTGATACTAGCATATAAAAGCAGATAAAGGTGGAAGGGATGAAGAAATACAAAAATATTATTACAAAATTATCGAAGAAAACTTACAATATTCAAGATATTCGAGGATAAGGAAAGACTAGGAACTTAAGCTATGAAGGGATTAACTGAAAAAGTTAAAGTTTAAGGCTCAACAAGAACCGTACATACTATTTGAATAACTATCTCTTTTATAAACATAAGTAATCCACTGTTAAATTATATATATATATATATATATATATATATATATATAACTTTTTTACTATCATGTTATTTTCATTCCTTAACTTTACTTTTTACTTTTTGTCTTGTTTATATCACCATCTCTTAAATTATATATTTATTTTAAAAGATAAAAACAAAGTCTTAAACCCTTTACTCAATTTTGGAACTTTATCCTATGTCATTTTATCTAATATATTTAACATATATTGATAAATCATTAATAATGCTAAAAATTATGACGGAAATAAAAGCTATAAAATGTATGATACTTATCTCTCGAGAAAGAAAAATGTTATCATAAAAATAATGTTAATTAAACATATCTCAAAATGTATATTAATTATCTTTGTGCTTTACCCACTCGAAACAATTAAGGCATATATTCCACTTTTGATTTCTCTTTTTAGCCGACACATTTGATCATTGTCACCATCAACATAAAATAATAACTGGAAAAAGAATAGCGTAGCATTTTTATAATCATTAGATATCATAATATCTCTTCTCAAATTGTACGCATTTAATGATTTTGTCGTCCATGAAAAATATTCACGTGGGAACATCTTTTCAATTTAATTATAAACACAGATATTTTAGATTTTTTATTACACATGTTTTTCTTACTATAGAAATAAATATTTATTCAGGATTTAAATGATTTTTTTCTAAATTATTATTAGATTTTTTATGTTTTAAAATATTATTTTTAGGTTCTAAAACATTTGATTTCATCTTTCATTCCTAAGTAGTTTTAAATTTATTAAGTCATCTATAAAATACTTGTATTTTTTTCTTTGTTGAAGTTTTGCAACCATTTCAAATTTACGATTTGATACAATTAGATTTTTATATTAGTAGCCATTAAGATATTTTCATATCATTACTTTGTCAAATAATAATAAAACTATTATATATTTTAATTTGGTCTCTTATTAATTAAAATATTTTTCACTACTACAAATAAGACTTTCCACGTCGGTTCGAAGGCCTTCAACGCCGGTTCAGGTCAGGTGACATTGAAAGTCCAACGTCGGTTCTATTTAACCGACGTGGAAAGTCTAATTTTAACTTTCAACGTCGGTTAAATAGAATCGATGTTGAAAGTCCCGACTTTCAAATCGAAAATTTTTATTTATTTTCAATCCCTCTCTATTTATCTAGAAATACCCCTCTCTTTTATATTATATTTTTATTATTTATCATATTTTTTTGAAGTTTAGAGCATTACCAAATTAATTTTTTGTCACTTCGAATCCAAGTACCTTAGTATTGGAGGTCGATATTCCAACCACTAAACTACTCGAATTTTTTGATAGTAATTTACAAATAAATTATATTTATATACAAATAAATATATATCCGTGTAAATATATAAATATATAAATACAAATATATTTATATATTTTGATATATTTATATAATTATATATTTATATGCTTGGATGTGAGAGCACGCTCGAAGGAGGTGAAAGTGTGTGTCGAGTGAGTTTTCAAAATTTGATGCCAAATTTGTGAGCAGGTCTCTTTATATGGGTTTGTAATTTAATGACGTAATATAATATTTATAATTTATTTATATAATGATATAAAATAAATTTGGGAAACACATCATTCGCTCAAACGAAAAATACTAATTTTCGCTCAAGCGAGGCTTGAGCGAGTGAATTTTCGTGAGTTTTAACGTATTTTCACTCAAGCGAGAGTCAATCTCACTTTCACCCTCGAACACGCCTCACATCCAACATATAAATATATAAATATATATAAATATATCAAAATATATAAATATATTTGTATTTATATATTTTATATTTATATATTTACATGGATATATATTTATTTGTATATAAATATAATTTATTTGTAAATTATTATAAAAAAATTATAGTAGTTTAGTGGTTGGAGTATCAATTTTCAACTCTAAAATATCTGGATTTGAATCTTGTCGATGACAATTCTCTAACTTAAGTGAATTTTTGACTAAAAAAAATAAAAACATTTTCCAGAAAATATATATAAATAAATATATATTTACACGTATATATATTTATTTGTATATAAATATAATTTATTTGTAAGTTATTATTAGAAAATTATAGTAGTTTAGTGGTTGGAGTATCAACTTTCAACTCTAAAATACTAGGTTCAAATCGTGTCAGTGACAATTCTCTAACTTAAGTAAATTTTTGGCTGTAAAAAAATAAAAACACTTTCCGAGAAAATATATATAAATAAATATATGTTTATTTGAATATAAATATAATTAATTTTCAACTCTAAAATACTTGGGTTCGAATCTCGTCAGATGAAATTTTTGGGTGAAAACACGTTCAACGCTTCGGTTCATCCTGGAAAACATATTTTGTAGTAGTGTTTTTAAAATTAAAATTAATTTCATTAAAAGTCAATAATTGTCTTTAAAAAATTAAGGTAAAGTTTGATGTTCAATATAATAATATATTTTGATGAAAAGTATAGGAATAATAACATATTATTAAGAAGTTTATAAATAAAATTTACGAATTGAAATCATTATAAATTTAAAATTTAAATTTAAAATTATACTATTGGAGAGAAAAAGCATGTTTAAGTGATTGGTTAAATAAAAAATATCAAGAAAAGATTGTGGTTGGAGAAGCTGATACAAAGTTTGACTTTTCTTGTATCATTATCAGTGGAGCTGTCCACCAAGCCAAGAAATCACCCACCACAATCTGACTTTCAACTTCTATTATTTTTTTTATTTTTTTTATCAACAAAGATAATAATTTATATAAAAAATTAAACATAATGCTGTTAGTTTCATAGAAAATAATGATTTTTTTAATTTTTATTCTCAAAAGTTTTAAATAATTATTTAAAATTATTAATATTCTTATAAAAATAAATAAATAATTTATTCTCAATTTTGCTATGATAAAGTCGAGATAACAATAATTTTTATACTCGTTTTTAAAATTTTAATTTGTCACTTTTTAATTTTTAAAAACGATTTATTAAAAAAAGTTATATAAATTATTTTTAACTTCAAATCCTAATTATGCAAGAGGCTTAGGAGCACAGTGAATCAATTAATATTTATTTAATAATAAAAATAAAGAACATTCATTTTATAAATTGTTTTTTGAAACACTAATATAGGTTACTTGAAATAATATTTCGATTTTTTTTTAGCATATGGAGAATGAATTAATTTATATAACATTAGAAAATAAAAGTGATATTATTCAATTTTAGAACAATAAAAAATAATAATTAAGAAATTAAAATTAATTAAAAAAGTTAAAAATAATTTAAATTTCTATATAAGTGAGAGGAGAATATAGAAGATGGGTATCATGTGGTTCAAATCAAAAGATAAAACCACAAGAAACAGAGTCAAAGTGAATCAATTATTGTTCTGTATCTTGGTCCTCACCTTCCTAGTCACCGAGCTTCACTAAGCAGACAGAGAGAGTCATGGGAAGTGTTTCACTGTTCTCCACTGCTGTTGCCAGAAGGTATCCAACATTTTCTTTTTCTAATCTTAAAAAACAATTATCCATGATAACTGTGATTTAATTTGTTAAACAAACTTTGGAAAACAGATTAGAAGGGAAAGTGGCGTTGATCACCGGTGGAGCAAGTGGCATAGGGGAGTGCACGGCGAGACTCTTCGCCAAGCATGGAGCCAAAGTAGTGATCGCTGATATCCAAGACGAGTTAGGTCACTCAGTTTGCAAGGACATAGACTCCTCCTTCTACGTCCACTGCGACGTCACAAAAGAGGAACACGTGGAACGTGCCGTGAACACAACCGTTTCTAGGTTCGGGAAACTGGACATCATGCACAACAACGCAGGGATCATTGGAGTGTGGAACCCCAGCATAGTGCAAAACGACAAGTCCCATTTCGAGGAAGTGATTAGCGTGAATTTGGTCGGTGTCTTCCTCGGAATGAAGCACGCGGCGAGGGTGATGGTCCCTTCTCGACGTGGGAGCATAATCGCAACGGCGAGCGTGTGTGGACGCATAGGTGGATTGGGCTCGCACGCTTACACGTGCGCCAAGCATGGCGTGGTGGGGCTCGTGCGGAACGCTGCGGTGGAGCTTGGACCCTTGGGGATACGCGTGAATTGTGTGTCTCCTTACGCGGTTCCTACGCCGATGAGTAAGGGTTTTCTGAACACTGATGATGAGGGGATTGCTGCGCTTTATTCTAATCTGAAAGGAGCTTCTCTTAAACCCGAAGATGTTGCTGAAGCTGCGGTTTACTTGGGGAGTGATGAGTCCAAGTATGTCACTGGGCATGACCTTGTTGTGGATGGAGGGTTCACTGTTGTGAATGCTGGTTTGTGTGTGTTTGGGCAATCGGTGTAGGTTTTTTCATTGGTTGTTTCAGTTGCTGTTTTGAATAACATTGATTTAAGCTGTGTTTGTTTACAAAAGGAAAGTCGATAACAACGTTCGCTTAAGAATAAAAATAAAATATTTCATTTTATTTCTAATCAGTTCTTCGTAGATGAAAATCTCATCAATTAACTCTTTGAGAGGACCAACTTGATCTTTTTGTTGGGTACACAAGGGGAAAAAAATCTCCACCTGGAACCACACGCAAGATATATAGTATGAAAAAATTGCAAATTATCTCGTCACACGCAACAACTCAATTTCCTAATACACTTCTATAATACAATGATACAATGATAGATTAGTGTTGATATAGTGTTGATAGAATGAGTAGAATATACACCTATATTCTCTTGCCACGGCATCCCTTATGTTAGTCATTTAACAAATCTAAACAACGGTTTAGCACTTTAAAAATCTATGTTAGTTGAGAAGTCTACACAATGATTTACTAATGTGAAAATGTAAATTATGTTTGGTTACTTAAAAAGTCTAAACAGATCTACATATTGAAAAATTTTAAGTTATAATTAATCAATTAAGAAATTTAAATATGAAATTAAAATTATATAACACGAAAATAAACTGATACATATTATATGATTATAATTTCGTAAATAAAAGATAAGATCATTATGTTTATATCTTCATGAAGTAAAGTATGTATGATTTTATCAATCATGAAGTTTTTCTCAAATTAAAACACTAATTGTGAGAAAATATTTACATTAAGAATACTTAGACATTATTCTTTAAGTTTAATGTCGTCATTTTCAATCTTCACTCATGTATTGGATAATACATTATAAAAATTATATAAAAAAGTATGATATTTAATTTAATAAGATAATATATTTGTGAATATTTTCAATTACATATTATTCAATTCTATTATTTTAATACAGAATATATGTAAAATAACGTAATGACAGTGATAGAACTTCTTAAAAAAAGTAAGGGTCATAATTTTTAAATTTTTTTTAATTTATGTTCATATTTAAATATAATTTAAAAATTAAATTTAAAATAATTTATATATATTCTTGTATTCGTTTAATGTCGTCGCTGCAAAAACACCTGATCAGAGATATTTATAAATTGATTCTTTCATGAAAGCTGAGAATTCGTCATGCATTCTGGTCTTCTCCAATGGTATATTTTGTGTCTAATTGTGCGAATTTTGTCCCTAGTGAGTCATATAAGATTTGGAGATCCCCTGCTAAAGAAGCCAAATTGTTATATATAGTGAGTGGAAACAGCACAATGGTTTTCGTTCGTACTATTTAACTTGTGTTTGGAAATATTCTGTAACAGGTTATGACAATAATACACATTCTTTTTAATATATTTTTTCATGAGAGGAAGAACTTGAAAATCATAAAATATTATAAATCTTATTTCCATGTTCAGTGAATTCTATTTGTGATTTCATTGTCTAATTAAATCTTTAACAAATAATGTGAATTATCTTTAAAAGAATTTATATTATAAATTGTTATTAACTCTTCATTTTACACTGCAAGACTTTAAAGTAGGTGTTGATGTGGAGCCATGCTTACAGCTTTTGTAGGTGCTGTAATGGAATCTGTTTAGTGGGTTGCTTCGTTGGGTGTGGCTTTATTGGTTAAATCAGAAACACGTACTCTTTGTTCAGTCTTTTTTCTTTCTCACATTTTTTTACTTTTTTATCATTATTATCGCCTTCTGATATGACAACGGTGATGGTGAAATGATGTAAATATATATATATATATATATATATATATATATATATATATATATATATATATGAGAAGTTGAAATACTTTTTTTAAAAGGAAATAAAATAAAATAAAATTGTAATTATAATATTATAAGACAAAAAAAAAAACATTTTAAAAAATTAATAATATAGAAAATAAAAAAGAGAAGTCTACATGTATTTCCGTTAACATTGATTATGATTGTAATTATCATATACTTTGATATTCTCATTCATATCTTCTTTATGAAGTGAAGGGGTGAAGAGTGACATTACACAAATGATTATATTTTCACAACTAGAAATTATAATATTTTTTAAATAAATTATTTTTATTAATATAATAATTTATAAAATAATTTAATAAAAAATAAAATAAAATTAGTATTATAATATTAAAAAAAATTATTTATAAAAAATGTATGAATTTAAGTTGTCAATCGATCATTTTTTCATTATAATACACGCTATAACTTTTTATTTAAATTTTTCCCACTTCTTAGTCATTAATTAATAACTCGTAAAAAAAAGTATCAACTATTATTTAATATGTTACCTGATAATTATTTAAGACTAAGTTTGACTAATTTCTCACAACGTTGTTGAATACAGACGAACAATCTTTTTCATGTTTCAAATCTTCTGGATGCTATAAAATAATATAATGTAAAATGAAGTAATCTTAAAGAGAACTCATGAGTTTTTAAGTATAGTTTTATTATGTTATATTGTATTTAATTAATTCATAATTAATTTGTTCTAATAAAAAATTTATTACAAATTTCAAAAAAAACTTATCATCATTCACAATTTTTTCTTTATTTATTATTTTAAGTTATTTGATAAAGTAATTATTAATTTTTTTAAATAATTTTATTCAATAAATAATTATTGTTTAATAACTTTTGTGTAAAAGAGTTGTAAAGCAAATATATGATTATGTTTGAGATATTATTCATTTTGAAGTTTTCGTATGTTATGGTTTTATTTTAAAATATGTATCGATGGTTAAGAAAGAATAATGTATATAAATTGTTATTGGTTTCGACTTCTAAATGATGTAAGACTCATGAGCATACCAAAATATAAGTCTATGTATGAGTGGAGCAAGACTCGATTCTCGATTTATGTTCTAATACACTCGTAAGTCTCATATTACTTAGAAATTAAGAGTAATTTATATACATTTTTCTTTCTTAACACATCGTCCAAACATTTTTTAAAGATATAACCATAATAAAAACTCCAAAACATCCAATATATCAAATATGATCCAACAATATACATCCATAAATTAACATTTTTTTAATGATTTCTACACAGTATTAACTTTTTTTTATTCATTTATTTGTTCATCTTCTATTTCACATCATCCTTTTGATCAAATTTAAACAAGATAATGTTAATGTGACAGACAAGTTCAAAAAATTATAAAACAAATGTCACATCGTACAAGGACAAATAGATAACAAAAACCCTAGATTGGTGTATCGAAACTTAAACTTGCAGTTACAGTAGATGGATCATGGATGCATATACAATTGTTCTCCAACTAATATGCATTTTATGGTTGTACTATTATTAGCTAAATTTTATTATGACAAAGGTTTTAGATGAACAACACAATATCTGTATAATTATGTGCATTTCTATCATCTGCAACAGATAGCCGTTGGATCTACTCTCTGAATTCAATGATACTTGCCCTCAAATGCAGGACTTGTGGATGAGAATCCTCTCTCTTTCTGTTTGTTCTTTAATATGTGGTAGATAAACAAATTGAGAGGGTCTGAAACTGTAAGTGGATACTATTTATCATCACTTAATATACTTTCACTTTATTTATTATACCATTAATATACCTCTCACTCTACCATTTTTCCATTTCTATATGTGGCCGCACTTTGATCCTCGGATGATGGGGATGTTGATGATAGAAACTGTCGTTAGGTTGGTTTGGTAGTTTATTCTTCATAAACAATCTAGTCGTTTTGTGCTGTACAAAACCCTCACATACTTAAATACTTATATATATATACTCAATGCCAAATTATGAATTTGTTTTTCTATTCTATCGTTTGTGGAAATTATGATTTTAATTTATTTAAATAGTATATATAATGTATTTTTTTAGTCCTGTAAAATTAATGAATTTTTATTTTGGTCCTGTAAAAAAATTCTGTTTTTTTCCTCTAAAATTTAAAATTGTTATCTCTAGTATTGTGTGATTCTATACGTAATTCATAAATTTTAGCAAAAAAACTCAAGTGATAATTGCAATATTATGATTAATGTCAACACATCTCACATCAAAAAGCAATTTTAATATAAAAAAAATACTCCCTCCAATTTAAAATTAGATTATATAAGATAAACATTAATTTTTAATATTTTTAATAAATTTATTAGTCTTTTTCTATTTGTTAGATATTGTTTAGATATTATTTAATATTGTTAAGATATTGTTAGATATTAACCATAATATCAAATAATATCTTCTGTTTATTCTGTTACTTTCAGTTACTCTTTTAGTTGTATCTCTCTACTATAAATAGACTACCCTGTGTGTGATTTATACACAAGGGAGATTAATCCCAAACTCTATTTCTTCTATATTCAACATGGTATCTAGAGCTTAAGGTTATTTTGAATTTTTTTTTTTCGCCTTTGACCACTATTGAAGCCGTCACCACCGCCGCTATCGCTGTCGGTATTTGGTAGTGTGAAAGTGCATGTCTAGGAAAGTTCTGACAAGGAAAAACTTGGTATTTAAGCGTGTCCATTAGTGACCCACCTCTCTTTCCTGGGAACTTACCTGGTGTACTAGTTCACGCCGCTGTCACTATCGCCTCTGCCCTTTATGAATTCTTCCGCTCCTTTTAGTACTTCCAATTCTGTCAGTATTGCGTCTGATCCTTCCATCTACACTAACTATGTTAATGTGCACTTATCCATTGACAAGTTAACTGGCCCTAATTATGCCACATGGTCATCAGACGTCAGATTATGGCTTAAGAGTCAGAAGTATCTTGATCATCTTACCCCGAAAGCACCTACTCTCACTCCTGGTGAGGAAGACCGTTGGGACACCATTGATGCTCAATTATGCGTGGTTCTCAAGGGTACTCTTGATCCTTCGTTAAAACAAATTTTTCGTTCCTACGAAACATGTGCCAAAATCTGGGAACATGTCAAGTTATTATACACCAATGATACTCAACGTCTTTAT